GAGCTGAGGCACTGGAGGTGTGGAGAAAGGCAGATAAGGAGTGGCGACAGCGTAACAAGGCCTGCAATGAGGCATACCAAGCAGAACTCGAATGCTGGAAAGCAGAGAGGGACTTAGTGTGGGAAGAAAAACTGGTGGCCTCATTGGAATCAACCAAAATGAGGAAAACTCGAAAACACCTTTAACTAAGCCTATGGCCAAGAGCACAGACAACAGTGAGGGCAGGGATGGGAGTGAAGTCGAATGATGATGAAGGCAGCGAGAGCGAGGATGAATGTTAGATAATCAGCAATGGGATAATCAGTGTCACTTAGAGCTATATATTACATAATACAGATTTACTGTTTTTGGTGCGGCACAAGTGGTGGTGCAGAGGTGATAAGAAACCAAAACTTCGCCACCTTCCACAGCACAGAAAACATTCCTGATGTACTTCAAAATTCATATGGAGGTTACCAAAGTATATAATAATGTATTCCCCATTCATGATTTATGTATATATTGTGTTGTAATGAAATATGAGCCAACTAAAATTTGTTGGCACAAGTGCCAGTCCATTACTGTAAAGCATATGATGGGCAGGCCCAGTCCATATGTTGTGACCTTCTTCATGATACAATAGGCAGGCCTGTCCATGTCTTACAGTAGCTTAGCATACTTACTTGGTCATGGGCCTGTCTATATGTTGCAGCATCCTTACCCTCCACAGGCCCTCCCATATGTTGTGGAATTGTGTTTATGGGCCCATATGTATGTTGCTCTCACTATAGGCCCTCAGACCTGTCCTTGTGTCATGGCTAATCTATTTAGACAGGCCTGTTGTGGGGTCTATATAAGTGTTGGCATTTTGGCATGCAGGCTACCTATATGTTGTGACTAAATGGACTACATGGGGTCCATGAACAAGCTGGGAAAGTCAAGGGGCATGGTTCACAGACATGATGAGAGTAGAACAATTGTTGAGGGGGGGAAGGAATCAAATTGATGTGAAGGTTTGAGCCACACACTAACAATTATATACTTAGCAGCCATGAGGTGCTTATGTCATTGGTCCAGATGCCTTTACACAGCATTCAATGGTCTTCTTGCATTCCTTGGCACCATGCTTCCTTCACTTCTATGCAGAATTCACTGGTGTTTTCAAATCCACAGCACTGCACCTTCTCCATCACTATGTGGCATCATTATTTACCACCTCTGCACCACATGGCTGACCAGGGATGGTCAGCATCTAAGTCCCCTGCAGGTGTAAGGAATTCACATTCCCTGGATGTATAAGCCCCTATCATCAACCATTCTGTGACTACTGTTACATCCCTAGACCACTTGCCTCCACTGCTGTTTATGCACTGTCTTCCTGCCTACCTCACTACCTTCCCATGCCCTCACTCCCTCTTGCATGTTGCTATACCTGCAGCCCCTGCACTCCAGTTGCTTTCTTCCTTCAGACTCTTTTCTTTTTGCCATGGTCTCTGTTCCCTTTACACTAGTAGTATACCCTCAGCCCCTGTTCTGGCCTGTCTTGTGTGTATGCACTGTCATGTGGCTTTCCCTTACTTGTACTCTGTCTTACTTAGGTTCCAGGTCTGCCTGGACTATAAAGCCCTGTACTTGGGTACAGAATGATACCTTTTGGCACTCAGAAGGTCACTATGAGTTTCCTTTTCACTTTGTCTTCACTGCATGTCTCACATACCACCAGGCATGAACTATGTATACCACTTGCAACACTCACACTGCCAGTACTACACTGCAGACCATGCTGCACACACCACAAATCACTACTGCTACAAACCACTGAGCCCCACCTTCTAGTTTCAATAGTCCAGAATCCCTTGGAATGAGAAATTTGTTCCCTTCATTTTATTGTTGTTACCTAAGCCATCTAGCTCATATTATACAGCTACTTGGACTTTTCCTACAGCAAGCAACTCCCTTCTTCACATATGACAATGTATAGATGACTCTTTTGGTGTCAGTATTGTAAATTTCTTTGTTGACCATCAGATAAGTTTGGACTGTGAACAGCCAACTCATGGCATTCTTCTGGTTGCTGTCAAAGTCAGGCAGAGCACCAATCTTCAGTTCAGTGGCCTTGACAACAATGGTTGTGGCCTTCAATGATGAACCAGACATTGTATTCTGTGGTGGCAGGGGTGTAGGAGTTGGGACTGGTACAGGTGGGATGGGAGTACTGAGCAAGGAGAGGGACTGGGTGAAGAGGTTTGAGAGGATACCTGAAGTAAAGCCTCTATCCAGATGTTCTGGTCATTGGAGGTATCCATGACAGTGCTCTCCTGTTCATCCTCAGATGAAGATTCTTCTTGTGTGGGTCACAACAGCACCTAATGTTGGTTGTTTCAGGGGTTCATGGTGGTGCACTGAACAGTGACCTTCAGCCAAAGGCTGTGGAGACTTGAGCTATTGTTATGCTAAGACCAAAGTCAAGGTGTAGGTTGAGCTCAGTTGCAGACTAAGGGTTTCTACTGAGCAATGGCTGCAGTAACCTTTGTAAGTGACAGAGGATTTGGTCAATGCTGGTAAAAATGGTCTTTGTTAGGGACACCAAGGGCAAAGTTCTGAGGAATGCTGTGTATAATTGAGCAGCTCAAGTCTGGGGTCCCAGGACTTGAGCCAGCAAGCTAAATACTGTACAAGGACAGACCATGAGGTGTCCACATGTCACCAAGCTAAATATGCTATTGGTTGAATAATAATGACATATGTCTTCAACAAGGCATGAGAAGTAAATGCTACTGGTGGAGGTAAAAGGCTGTCAGAACAGAGAGAAGACAGCCTCAAAAGGAAAAGTAAGTCCAGCAGAACAGAATGAGGCATACAGCAAACAAAAACAGGGGCAAAATGTAACACTCATATGAAGTATGATTTCAGTTGAGCCTGACCCAGCCCCATACCCAGTCTGCCCTCATCTCTGTCCCAGTCTCTGGTTGTCTTTGTCATGCCTTACTAATGCTTACTCTTACCAATTGTGTTACCAATCTTTGTGAGACAAGCATTGCTGGTCTCTGAACTATAGTTTTCCTCTAGTATATAAGCCTGTAGATACTCAGCCTGTACTGAAATCAACTAAGTCACTCCTGAACTCCTGTCTTGGGCTTGGACTTGAATTGTGACCTGCACAAGGGAATAACACTGTGTTCTCAGTCACTAAGTCCAACCAGTCCACCATCTGTTCTCACTTCCCCTCTGTTCTCTAGCCTCCCAAGCCTCATGCTCACCCAAGACTCTGGACTGGTCTTAACCCTGGACACCTGGACTTGACAACTGTACTCATTTCCATGCCTAGATTACTTGAATAGGTTAAAAAACAGATGTTGTTGCAACTTGTGCATGACTGACATTACTTGCATAGATAACTGTGAAGTAGTTTCTTGGGTTCATGCTTGGCTTGTCAATGATTGCATGAGGGATGAAGGACAAGGCTTCCATTGTTCTAGTACAACCCAAGAACAGTAAGAGATTGCATTTTTTTGTCAAGTTCAGCATTGGGAGAGTACTACTATAGCCTGAATTGAGATGGATTGTCTTGTGGCTATGATAGCCTGCCCTTAATGTACATGTTTCTCTAGCCACTGAATCATCCAGCAGGGGAGTGCTTTGAAGATTGATAGCAAAGTGTGGAAATTACCATAGCAGAGAACATAGGGCATTTATCATGTATCTAAATGACCAGCTTATGGGCTGAAAGAATTTTTTAAATCAAAGTGTTGGAAACACTGGACATACACACTCACATAGATGATTGTCCAAAATGAGTTGCAGAAGAGTTTGACACAAAGCTGTCCAGTCATGACCATGCTGCTCCACAGCAGATTTGAGAGCCTGTTGGATAGTGGCTTCCATACCAGAACTCTTGTACTCATTGACAGCCAGAGAAACAACATCTTCATTTGCAGGTGCTTGTCCATTTTGCAATAAAAAGTAACAATATTCAAAAATCAGTAGGCAATCCAAGGTAATGAGTATCACTGAAGTAGAATATGACTACTACTTACAAATACCATGCTCAGCTATTGAGTAAGTGGTGACCTCTTCTGATGGTGCATTGGAGTTCCCTTCAGTTGTAAGTTTTGCCTAAGTTTGGATATGTGTCATTGTGACAGCATCAACCCATCACAAAATAGGACTTACTGTCTGAGGTTGCAGCAGCAAAGAATGCATGAAAAGAATCCATATCACCACAGGTGTAAGGAAAATAAAATGATCAAATCACACACATCCTGTTGAATGATGACAAAGATGATAACAAGGATAGTAAGTCAGCAGGAATGGAGTGAGCAAGCAACAGAATTGCTTACAAGCTGTGATTACACCAGGATATAATGTGTGAGTGAGTGCATGCAACAGATACTGATTCTCAGACATTGCTCACATCCTACCACCAAGGGCAGCACAAGTAGACAACTCAGCCCATATCCAGCCAATCTTTGCATGAAATTACTCACAATCTGTCATGGCACAAACAAGCACAGTGCAAGTGAGGCCAGTCAGCAGACATCCAACCAAACCTGCCATGAAATCACTCACACCCTGTCATGGCACAAACAAGCACAGTGCAAGTGGGGCCAGTCAGCAGACATACAACTAAACCTGCCATGAAATCACTCACAAGCTGTCATGGCACAAACAAGCACAGTGCAAGTGGGGCCAGTCAGCAGACATCCAACCAAACCTACCATGAAATCACTCACACCTTGTCATGGCACAAACAAGCACAGTGCAAATGGGGCCAGTCAGCAGACATCCAACCAAACCTGCCATGAAATCACTCACAGCCTGTCATGGCACAAACAAGCACTGTGCAAGTGGGGCAAGTCAGCAGACATCCAACCAAACCTGCCATGAAATCACTCACAACCTGTCATGGCACATTGATGCATAGCAAAAATGCAATCTGTCAGTGAGCATCCTCCTACATATGCCATGTCATCACTTACAAACTGTCATTCCACATCCAGATATCATGCAAGTGACACCAGTCAGTACACATCCACCATCATTTGCCATGAAGTCACAAACATTCTATATCCCATGATATGCACATGGCATGTCAGTTCACAATGTGCAGATAACCCTGTCATAAAATACCATACTTCCTGTTATGCCAATCCAAATGAGGTCAGTGAATCTTCAGCCAACCTTCCATGAAATCACCCACAACTTGACAGGTCAGAAAAATGCAAAGCATTCACACCAACTGTCAGTAGACAATATTCCTACCCCAGTCACAATGTTACTCACCAACTTTTATGCCAAAAATATGTGCAGAACATGTGAGGCTATCCATTGTATTTAGCAACAACTATGGCAACACAATCAGATACTCACATGATGCTTGGGGAACCAACTGAGCATAGCAGATTTAAAAGCTCTTATTTCATATCTTTCCCCTTATTCAATTACACTTGTGATCATTCTTCTCACCACCCTTCAGAATATCAGAATTTGTGGTGAGTGCACACTGCTGGCTTACCAGCCTAAAGCATAATTAATACACAAGCCAATGCTTGACTGCTGGGTTGATATAAGTAACCTCTGCAGGCCTTCCTCATTCAATACACTTGCTGTGCACTGGATCAAAGTAGTGCAATCTGCACTCTCATTATGCATCTCTGTCAAGAATTCTTGCATCAAGCACAACTACCTATCATAAGTGCAGTACTTACTTGTCAATGTGAGATACATCTTAGGTGGGAATTTGCAATCCAGTCTCTGTTTGATGTGTGTATGCCACTTCTCTAACAACAGAGATTCCCTTTCTGTGGCCCTTTCCTCTGCTTCCTCCATCTCCATCCCTTCATCCAGAAGTTCCTCAATGGCAGCAAAATTCAATGCATCCACCTTTGTTAGCAGCACTATCACTGGGACTAAGCAGTTCCTGATCAGTGACAGCCACATTTCCTGTGTCACACTCATCAAAGAACTTCTGTTCAGCTGCAGTGACTGTCCTGTGGTAGTCAGTCATGGGGATACAATACCTATGTATACCTGATGGTCAGTTAAGTCAGTAACTACTCCTAAGGCAATTCTCACCATATTGCATGGATACACTGCTTCAGTATCCTTGCAGCTGCATGGTCCAGAACAAACTTTATCATCTCCTCAAACTGTTCTGCAGATCCTGCCTCAAACCCTGGAGAGTCATGGAATACAAAGCCTGGGTTACTCCTGAACACAAGCACAAGCTCATGTTCAATGTTATGGTAGCCATGCTAGAGGCAATCAACTGTAACTTGACTTGCAATCCAAGGCATGTAGCATCTTACCCCTAAAGTGCCTTGCACAACAACATTTTCAACCTACAAATTGTTAGATAAGTGTCACAGACTTCACATCAACATACCTTGTTTCCCTTTCCATCAAGTATATCAGGTTTGTCTGCAGTTTTACAGACCCTCTGGAGGATGGTTGTTTTGCCAGCATTTCCTCTTCCAATGACCAAAACTCGAAATTTCTCAATATTGTTCATGTACTCCTTGGCCATTTGGGATCCAAATGAAATGCAGCACATGATGGAGTGGTTTCTATTCTGAATCATCAAGGACATCCACATCTGCCAATTAACAGTAGTCATACTTATCATAGCACCTAGATCAGTCATTTCACCCATGAGATTGCTGGCTGCCATGTTTAGATCTTAGGAACTAGTTGTAGCAGATCATAATAAGCAATGTTAACAACAGTACCTGCACTGGCAGTGGCTTCAGCAGTACCATCCATGGCAACTGCAACTGGAACAGAGCTTGTCATATCATCAGTTGGGTTACTGCCATCTGCACTCAAATTTTAGCAACTAGTTGGCCTATGATGACAAGTAAATATGATAGTACCTGTAGTTGCTGTTTCAGTGGTAACCAGATCACCATGACTCTTGTGGGAGCAACAAGAGTGAGTGGCCCTGGCACATGACAAGGAAGCCAGAAACTTCTTTACAAGCCTGGGAGTCATGTGGATTTGAAAGGTACAAGTCTTTGAAATGTTATGGATGAGTAAGGCCTGCAATGGATCAGTGACAAGTGTTATTCCCATGAGGTTCAAGTTTGATGACAATGTGGAGAGACTGATACTATCAGAGATGTTTTGAAACTTCCCACCTACACAAGTAGGAGGCATGTCTTCTCACATGCCTGCCACTGCACTTTGGCATAGCTGGTAAATATGTGGGTCCATAGCAGATGTAAAGGTGATGACACCATGATGGAACTCACCATGGAGGGGTGAGCACACTCAACAGATCACAACAATGACAGAATGTGGACAGGCATGTGGATTTGAGCAATCAAGTGTATATGCTGATACAAGATGATGGACAGAGAGAGAAGGGGAAGAAAGAGAGATATGACCCATGGACACAGACAGCACCAGTATACATACCCTCAGAGTCCAAACAGTGCAACACAGGAGGGATCTGCATGCATGGATGAAAGAGCAATAGGAGGTGTGACAGTGTGATGTGTTAGCATGAGCAATGCATTAGTGGTAAGTGTACACTTACACCCTCCCAACCCATAAGAAAAGGCAATGGGGGGAGTGGTGTGCATGTTCAGTATTCTTCATCAGCATCTCTGCACCAACATCCTTCCTCAACCTCTACACCAGCCCTTTCCAGTCCCAAAACCACCAACATCCCCTACAGTGGGTGTTCTCTTTCCTAAACATCCAAAGCCTTGCAATCCTCCAGATCTTTCTTCATCAACCACTCATCATCCTCCAGCCCATACCCCAGCCACTGCACCAAGTATTTCTTTGTCCTCCCAGCCCACCTTTCATCTAATATCCATTCAATCAAAATTTCCAGCTGTCTGTTCACCATGACCACAGGGCCTGGGTGAGGCAGTTCATGTGAGGGGAATAACACAATGTCATTGGGCATGAAGGCATGCAACTGACTGATGTGGAATGTGGTGCAAGCATTGGCCATGCAGGGCATGTCCAAGACATAGGTAGACATCTCAGATGAGGCTGACAGGATGGTATACAGACCATTGTACCACAGCATGAACTTTGCTACATGATTAGTTCCATTAGCAATGTACTTGTGTCTACAATGTTTAGTAGATAACCAAACCTTGTCCCTGACTGAAAACCTCAGGTTGGGGATGTGGCGATGATTAGCCACATGAGCTTGAGCTGCCTTAGCAGCAAGGAGATTATCATGAGCTTCAAGGACATCCATCTCTAGGCAGGCCAAGAAGGCTACCCCATCAACTTTGTCTGTCAGAGTCTCAGTGTCTGAGGTGGAGATGGGGGGTAAGAGCCAAGGGGAACAGCCAAGGTGAAGTTGGAAGGGTGAGAACCCTGTACTGTTATTAATGGTATTCATAATATGGAAATGTACTTGAGGCAGGGCCTTGACCCAGCCTTTCTGGTTGTGCTTGACATGGAATCATACACATTGATTAACAGTCTTGTTAGTGCACTTGCTGGCCCCATCTGTCTGTGGATGATACAACAATGACATCTTGAGTTTAATACCTGTCAGCTTATGAAGAGACCTCCAAAAATGAGACACAAAGAGCTTATCACAATCCAAAACAATCTCCAAGGGGAGACCATTCTTGCGATACCAATGGTTGAAGAAAAGCATCACAAACTCAGAGGCCATGATAGAGCTGTGGCAAGGTACCAAATGCATGTCAGCCCCAAGATGGTCTGTCATTGTCACAATCATATTGAACCCATGATCTTCTGGCAAGGGACCAATGAAGTCAATAGCTACCAAGTCCCTGTGAGTGTCAGGGACTGGCAAGGGGTGAAGGGGACTGGCAGGTGCTGTGGTTGAAGACTTGTTGTGCATGCAATGGGTGCAGGCCAGGATGTATGCAGCAGTGAGATTGTGATGCATGTTAGGCCAGTAGAATGAATTACATAATTCTGCATAGGTTTTATCAGTGCCAAAGTGGCCCAAGGCATCATGAGTGAGATGGAAGAAACACTCACAAAGTGAATGTACATGAGGGATCACTAAACAGCCTGTGAGATACAGCAAACCATCCTGTTCCTGGAGACTGGGGAGCAAGTCAAGGGGAGAAAAGAGTTTTTTGCAGAAGGGATCCTCCATGTACCCTTTCAGGATCTCCACTGTCAGTGACTTATCCACCTCAACCATTGACACTGCAGCAACAGGGGGAATGTCATCTGGGCATCATGATAATGCATCAGCACCAATGTTATGCTTGCCTTGGACATAGCAGATAGTGAGGTCAAATTGTGACATGTACTCCTGCCAGAAAGCTCAATGTTGGGAGAGATCATGTTGTGTGGCAAAGTTCTGGAGAGTGCAGTGATCTGTATACACTACCACCAGGGCACTGAGTAACTCAATCTGCCACTTCTTCAAGGCATGAATGATGGCTAGCAGTTCCTTCTCATGCACTGGGTAGTTGAGTTCAGCACCATGTAGAGGAGTAGAGTCAAAGGCAACTGGTCTAGCAGTCTCCCAAGTTGGTCCCCAGGAGAGAATCATGCCAGTACAAAAGTCCAACACATTGCATGTAAGGAAAATATGGTTGTCACCTGGGTTGTCATGGTCAATAGTCATCAAGCAGTGAGGACTGACTACAAGGTCCTTGATGGCCTGGAAGGCCCACTGATGTTTGTCAGTCCAGGTAGGAAACTTGAGTTCCACAGTCTTCATCATCAATGCATTCAGGACATGCATGTATTCTGCAAGATTGGGGAGGTGATCAGCAACATAATGAACCAGACCAAGGAAACCATGCATGTACATAACCAATCAACAGACCAGCCAGTCAAGAATCCTGGTGATCTTGGAGGAATCTGGCTCGATCCCTTGAGCTGAGATGTGGTGGCCCAGGAAGAGAATGTCAGTACAAAACAGCTGAGTCTTTTGAGGGAGCAAAACAACTTAGCATCACAAAGAGCCTGGAGAATGGTGTGAACATTACATTCATGTTCCTCAAGCATTTGTGACCAGATGATAATGTCATCAAGGTAGACATGACAAATACAACCAATTAGGTGACAGAGAGTGGAGGACATATGACATTGGTGAACTGCAGGGGCATTGTGCACCCCCATGGGCATAACCATCCACTCATAAAGGCCCCAAGGGGTGTGTATGGCCAACCACTTGATGTCATCCAGGTGAACTTTGGTCTGAAAGAATGCATTGGTCATGTCCAGCTTAGCAAAGTATTTGCCCTTAGTGCTGTGAGTCAAAGTGTGGTTCAGTGGTGAAAACCAACCAAAACCAACACAAAAGACAAAAAGAGTGAGTGGTGGTGTGCCTATGTGGTACCTAGATGGTAGAACCTGTTCTTTGGGAGGGTTTTTGTGAGCTATAACACTCAAAGACGAGTGCTGAGGGTTGGGGGTGCTCCTGACGAAGAGGGAGCAAGAATGCAATAGAAAGCGATAGGGTAGACTGCTGTCAGCCTACAGAAGGATGGATGGCAACTTAATTTGATGTCCTAAGCTGCACTGAGCTCAGGGAGGGCTTGGAGCAAAGTATATTGATGATAAACAAGGATAAGCAAAGTAGATGATAGATAGACCCTTAATAAAGTCTCAACTATTGAATCTGCTGAATGAATTACTGAGTGATGATAAAATGCAAGCAAGAGGGGCTCTCTGATGTCTTCTTCCTTTTTGCTATCTAAGTACAGTGATTTATATACAGTACAGGGGTGTTGCCCATGGAAAACAAGGCACAAACACTTGGTAAGTGATTGGTAACTGATGAGTAAGGAATGTAAGCAATGGGTAATCATCTTGGAAAGCATTGGTAAGGATTGGTAAGGATTAGCAAGCCAAAGGGCAAAGGATCAGTAAGCAAAGTCAAAAGATTGGTAAGTATTGGCAATAGGTGAGTCAAAGACAGTCAAAACATCAAAGTATGAGTCAAGTAATGTCAGGAACTGGGAAAGTGCACTGGAATTGCATTAGGGGGAGGCTGTGCATGTCACATCTCAAAGAGATTGCTTCTAGGCCAAGGTGGGATGACAGAGAGGCAGTGCTGATCTGATGCCGATATAGTACATCCAAAAGTGGACAGGGTGAGTCAGATGTCAACAGGGGTCAAGCTTTGGGGGTCTGTGGGGTGACAGGAGCATAGGGGATCACAACTTTCCCCCAAAACCATCCTCTCAGTGGAGCAAATAAAAACTTCATGAATGAGGCTCTGTTGGAAGAGAGGATGAAGGGGGAGCATCTTCTGCTGTATCTTGCAACAAGGAGGCAAGATGTACATCATACTCATCATGGATGTGATCAGGGAGAGCGGAGAACAGTAGATTATACTGTAGCTGTCACAATCTTGGAAGAATGACAG